AAATAGAAATACAGATACAAATAGCAGCAGAAGCTAACTAAAATGGCCAACAGTGTAGAGTACAGACCGGACCAAAACAAATCACAACGTGGTAAAGGCAAGAGAATAGAAGTGGGTCTTCAAGCGAGACTTAACGACTGAGAGTGTGGGAGCCTGCCGGACACTCAGTGGCAACTCATTCCACAGTCGTGGACCTGCAACAGAGAAAGCCCTGTCACCCCTGAGCTTACGACGGGTTTCTGGGACTGAGAGAAGCATCTGGTCTGCTGACCTCAGAGAGCGCGGTGGGACATATGGCTGCAGAAGATCAGTGAGATAGGATGGGGCGGAACTGTTCAGTGATTTAAAAACGTACATGAGAATTTTGAATTGGATCCGAAGGTGAATGGGTAGCCAGTGCAGGGAGGCCAAAACTAGCGTGATGTGCTCTCTATAGCCTGTACCAGTTAAAAATCGGGCTGCAGCATTTTGGACAAGTTGTAGACGAGCAATGGAGGACTGACTGATTCCAAACAGAAGTGAATTGCAGTAATCAAGCCTAGATGTTGTAGTGAATATGTTCCTCTACAATGTTATGAAGGCGTGGATCACTGTCTCAAGGTTCTTGACGTATGACGTATTTTTATTCCGAACGGCCGTTTAATCTGATAAATGTTCATGTAAACATAGGTTATGTTCACCGTGTCTGCGCATTGCCCTTACTTTACCCTGTGAGTTCCCTGCGCCTGCCTGCACCATTGGTTTCACACACCAACAGAATCCTAACAGAATACGTGGACCAAAAAAGAACCCAGCAAGCTGCCCGTTCCTTATGGGGCACACCCCAGAGAAGGAACACAAGTTCCACATGGTAACAAGGAATTTTATTGACACTGTGGCCATCTCCAGCAACCTGTGGGCAAGATGAGTTGCCACAAAGGATATTTGAGGTGAGTTTCCTTGGCTGCCTGAACTGATCTTTTCCCTGTGGATGTGGGACCTCCTTGATGAGGTGCTGGGGGAGCAACAAGCACTGCAAGTTTTTATCCATTTGCCCCTAGACTCCAGCCAACCCAGCCCATCGCCAGAGGGATCGTCTCTCCCTTTGTAACCACCCTCCCTTCTGTCTGGCTGTCATAAGAGGGATCGACAGCAGACCCAGTTCTGGTCTGCTGAACTTCAGCCAGTGTCCTCTGCACCGCTTCCAGAGAGTCCAGCTCAGCAGTCAAAGCAGCCAAGTCCTCCTCAGCAGATGAACCCACCTGCTTCCTGCATTTTCGGGAGGGTCCAGAAGGGCAACTCTCACTCTTCCTCCAAGAGGATTCTGGCAGATGCCTCTTCACCTCCTGTAGGTCCAGAGTCTCCTGTGGGTCCAGAGTCCCCCGTGGTTCCCAAGTCTCCAAAGGTTTCCAAGTCTCCAAAGGTTCCCATGTCTCCAGAGGTTCTCACGTCTCCAGAGGTCCCAGTCTCCAGAAGTCCCTGAGCCTCCAGAGGGTCCCAAGTCTCCAGAACATTCAACCTTTATTTACACAGATAAATCACATATTGACAAGTGAGACCTGTTTAGACAGACAAAAAGTAAAAAAATTCCTATCAAACTTTCACTCCTTGGCCGAGGAGAAATAGCCTGAGATTGAAAAAAAAAACACCCCACACATAGGCACATAGTGATGCAGACATTCTGCAAGGGAGGGGAGACAACAAGAGCGGTGAGCATGTCCAAGGACATTCCAGAGGCACTGTAGGAGTTCTGATAAGAATGGTATAATCAGTCAGTTCCCTCTGGTGAGATCAGTAAACACTCTCGAGGGGTGCTGAGTTTGACCTAGGACAGCACCAGAGAGAATCCAAGAGTCCTGAAATGATGACACAATGTTTATTCAGCCGGGTTCTTCTGATAAGTCTGCAGACTTCCTCAGTGGGATGTCCAATTATATATGCGTCTTCAACATCCTTGATGGATAGCAGAGATAGACACATACCTTCCAATCGTCCCAGGAATCCATGACATATCCAGCTGCATGCATGTCATCAGGGCAAGTCAGCTCACCTGAAGCTTGTCTTCTTGTTGAGAAAATGTTATCAATTGCGTTGAGAGACCAGCTGACCAGATCCATAACAAAAAGCAGAGAAGAAACCCAAACATGACTCCACTCAGTCAACAGGTGAAAAGGAGGAACCCAGACCCAAACCAGTGGTCATTCCATATGTTGCGGGAGTTTCAGAGAAACTGAGACATTTATTTTCTAAACATAACGTCCCAGTGATTTTTAAACCCCAAAATACATTACGGCAAAGACTGGTTCTTCCCAAAGATCCAGTCCCCCGGCACAAACAGAGTAATATTGTGTATGCTGTTCAGTGTCAGGAGGGTGATCAGTCTTACATTGGGGAAACTAAACAGTCACTGGCCAAAAAGATGGCCCAGCACAAAAGATCAACATCATCAGGCCAGCACTCTGTGGTCTATACTCATCTCCAGGCCAGCGGTCACTCTTTCAGGGATGAAGATGTTCACATCCTGGACAGAGAGGAACAATGGTTTGAGAGAGGACTAAAGGAGGCCATCTTTGTGAAAAGAAATCGTCCATCATTAAACAGGGGTAGAGGCTTCCGGGTTCAACTGTCCCCCTCTTACAATGCTGTTATTGCTAGTATCACTCAGCCCCCTGTGAATAGCAAGTGGGCCATCAGGGTGCTGACGATCCTTCGTTAGGCTGATGGTCCTTCTTGATCATGTGAACAGTTGGTTCTGGATGTCATCAACAAACTGGTTGATCCACTATGAGAAGGTGTTATTTATAAGACTGAGTTTATTGTAGCTCCTCAGACTACGAAGTTTTTTGGATAAAAAACAAAACGATTCAACAAGTTTATTTTATGTGTATTTTTTAATCTGTCCAGAGGACCTGGCTTAACTTTGTTAGAGACGCAGACTTAAATACAAACACTTACAAACAGCCAAACACCTGGGGAAAGGACAATCAGGCGCAGGTGGAAGCATCAGGAGCTGGGACAGACCACAAAAGAATACACCATGGAACACAAATCCTCATAGCAGGCAGAAACGCAGACTAGAAAATGAGCCTCAACCAAAAAGTCAAAAATCTATGAAATTTTTTTTAATAAATAAATAAAATCTGTGATTAGCTTTATTTATAAGTGGCAACAGTCAGTTTTTGTGTTTCTACTGGTTTATGTGGGAGATATGAAAGAAAGAAAGTCAGTTTGGATGTTAAACTTAATCGACAAGAGACACACGGAGTGAAAAAAGACAAAAAAGATTCAACTATTCTGAAAAGTGTAAAAACATGTCAGACATGAAGAACCAAAATAATATGGAACGTTAAGACAGCTGTGACATCATCACAGTCTAAGATGAAGCTTTGGTGGAAAAATGTCAACTGTGATTGCGTAAAAAACATTAAAGTTATGGATTCCATCATGTAAAGTCCATCGGTGTGTGACCCGTTTAAACATGAAATGATGTTTGTAACACCAGAGCTCCAAGCAGGGCTGCCTGTTCACACTCATTTCACAACAACCCTGCTGGAAATGTTCCAGTATTCATGAATCCTACCTGCACGCTAAGATGAACCAAAACTCAAAGCACACTCCTCCCTTTGTGCTGAGCATTTTAATGTTTATTTGTTTGTGTTTTTAAAGCTGCAAGAAAAGTAGACACTCAAAAACAATTGCATGGAAGACGAGCAGGTAAACAGTAATAAGGATGTAATAAGGATGTAATAAGATGTAATGAGATGTAATAAGGATGTAATAAGATATCCTGATGCATGCTCAATAATCCAGGTAGAAAAATCCAAAATCTGTTCAGAGAACCAGATTGAACTTTTTTGGATGTAATAAGATGCGATGAGATGTAATAAGGATGTAATGAGATGTAATAAGGATGTAATGAGGATG